AGGGAAACTTTAGGTTAGATATTGGGAAGAAATTCTTTACTGTGAGGGCAGTGAGGTACTTCAACAGGTTGCCCATGGAGGTTGTGGATGCCCCAGTCCTGGCAGTGTTCAAGGCCAAGTTGGAATAAGGCCTTGGACAACCTGGTCTAGTGGGAGGTGTCCCTGCCCATGGCAGGTGGGTTGGGGCTAGGTGATCTTTAAGGTCCCTTCCAACCCTTAACTTTCTATGATTATATGAGTGCTCCCTATTCTGATAGGGCTTTGGTTTGACCCTGTGCAAACCATGTTCCTTTATTCCCTTACGAAAGTGTATTTCACTTAGTTCAACAGCTTAGGAGGAGAAGCCTGGCAATTTCCACTGTATATTTGAGAACTTAGTCATTAGAGTCATTGGCTTCAAATCTGATGCCAAACCTGGCATCAGATATTCCAAGTAAAATGGTATGGGTCTGAAAAGGCCTGAGGAAAAGGCAAACTCAGCCCAAACTGATGTGAGACTTCTGAACTATTCCCAATGCACCCAAATCATCTGCATTAAATATTTTTGAGGGACAAATGCCAGTACAAGTTATTTCAAACCTACTTGGTATGCAAGTCTTCAAGGACACCTTAGTGGCAGAAATACAAGTTCTCAGAAGACCAAAACATCCACCAATTCAAATAGGATGCCATTGAGACCAACAGATACTCTCAAAACATTCATAAGCAGTTTCAGCAAGACAGAAAAGGCTGGTATGTTTGGGTTGAGAGCAAAAGCACCTGAGATAGACATGAGAAGCTTTCATAGAGAGCAACTTAAGTAAGGAGCAGGAAGTTTTTGCTGTTGCTTGGGGAGGGGGAAAAAGAACAAAGAGGGATACAGACAAAAGACATACTTCAGATAAGCACCATCCTTCAGCTTTATGAAGTTTTTCTGGTTGGATAGGAAAGAAAAAGCTCTTATATCTCCCAGGTAAGCTATGTTCTGCACAGAATTGGATGTAGAGGTGGGATACAATGGAGAGGTTCTGAATACCGTGAAGATCTGTCCTTCAAAAAACTCTCTTACAATCAGGTACCCGTGCCCCCCACCAACACACACACAATTAGTACTTCACCATATTGGAACTAAAATCCTAAAAAGCCAGCCTCAATCCTTGTTCAAGACAGCACCATACAAAAGCTGCTTTGAACATTACAGTAAGAGAACATACTAGCACACCCTGCTCTCAACTAAGTAGCACAGTACCTGACTCTACTAGTAATTAGCAGAATTAACTTGTTCTTACTGGAGAAGAAGGAAGACACCAAGTTTTAACAGAAATTTCCATTTCCTATTTGTCAGACCTTCTTTAAACTATCCCATGCTTGTGAGAAATCTGAAACCCCAAAGAGAAACTGTAAGCACCCCTAATCCTAAAACTAATTCAAGCAGGGTTTCAGTGCTATTCACTTGAATAGCATTCAGTCAATCAGGGAAACTGAAACAATAACATATGTGAAACAGCTTGAATCTTGAGGATATGATCTATACAGAGTTAGTTAACAGAATTTTTTTCCTTAAACCCACACAGTCACCGTAACATTCATTTAGCAAATCTGAATAAGAACTGCATTCAATAGCAACACAATCTGCATGTGAACATTCTGTGAACAGAAAGACTGAATTCCATGAATCAGTAATTTGGTTCAATTGTCTTGGTTCTGTTTACTATCTACACTATGTATGATGAGTCTTAACTTATTAATATTGGACATCTTCTGATTTAAATCTCTGTATAAGGCTCTGAGTGAACAAGGCCTATGTTTACTTTGACTTTAAAGGTAATTATGCATCTGCAGAAGTGTTTTCTAGACTGAGCTAGACTTTATTAGCTCTGCTGTCATAAGTTCAAAAAAAATAAATCTCTACATCACCTAAATTTGAGGCAGAGGCCCTTCAATCAGTATTTATCGTATTTTGCAAAACAATACTATTTACATAATGTTGGCATCATATATAGTACTGTAGTTAGCATTAGCATAATAACGATGACATATGTGCTATTACCATTACAATGTTGGCGTGTTGATTTTTAATATTGACAGAGCTGCCTGAAATATCTACTGTTTGCAACATTTGTTCTAGCTAAAGAGATTTGGTAGAATTTGCTAATCAGCTGCAACCTCTTCCCACCCATAAAACTGATGCAAAGAGGGGGAAAAAAACAGCTAGTGGGATCCAAAGACATAAACACTTTTACTTATAACTCCGTGAAGAGAAATCCCTCTCTCTCTCCATATGGTTTTCTCTTGGCTCTTAATCATCTTTTCATTGGCTTCCAGCTGGCTGTCTCACTATCATCTAGCAGTATCACTAGCAAGACCAACTTGTTATGCCAAAGTCAGCCTCAGAAAGATGAGAGCTGTGAAGTAGCATGACTGGATGCAGCAATCTTCACTAGGGGCAAGTCTGGCATAAAGGATGCATAGCAGGGTCACTTCACTTGCCTCAGCAGAGCAACCACTGCTGTGTTCCCGAAACACAGCAGCAGGTCTACGTTTGCACTTTTTAGTAGTGGGAGTGAAGAACGACTACTACAATTGAAGCTACGGGGAATTTCTGCAGGCAGAAGTGTAATTACCTGAGTGGGAATTCTGGCAGAAAACCCAAATCTCCTTCTCTCCTTAAATAGAAACAAATACCGTGCAGTCACCATGGAGAGATTACGTACAGCATTTGGATCACATACAGCAGTGAAATACAACACACAGAGAGAAGAGCCAGCCATGGAGCTGGTTCAGCAAAGCACAACCAACAGCCAGTTCTCCATTGACTACAGCCCAGCACTTTAGCCATCATCTGCTTTCCAGTTTTACAAATATTAAGCTGTATGTCAAAACTCTGCCTCTGCATTGAAGGCCAGCCCAGCAAGCTGTTTAGTCCATCTGGGGGATACCTGAAACCTGACACAAAAGAAACAGAGATGGAAGTACTGACAAATCCATCTAGTACCACCCAGGTAAGATTTTGAGTTAGGAATTGAAGAAAACTGCAGGGAAAGAAACATCATATTGTGCCTGTGTGTGAAATCCCACTTGGATTTAGCTAAGCAGCCAGTCATTGAAGTGAAGCAGTTCTTGTACGGTCTGTAGAGGCTTTGACTTCAATTGCAAAAATTCTCAGTTTTGGTCTATGTCCAAACTCTTTGGTTTCCAGTCATCTTACGCCTCTTCCTATCCCTTCCTTCTTCCCATTCCGCAGCCCAGCTCATTTTTTTTGCCTTCTGCCCACACCAGCTTCTAGACTCAAACCCAGTTGCAGGCCCCATTTCCTGAGGTGGATTTTTCCCCTCTACTCCATCACCCATGTCTCTAGTGGACAGCTTCCTCCTTGGGGCTGCAGCTGCAGCCCAGGGAAGAGTCAGAGCACAGGCACCCTTTCCCTCTTCAGGCACAGTATGGGCTGCAGTCTTTCAGTCTCTTTGGCCTCAAACTCTTCCCCAAATGGCTACTTGTGCTCACTCATAGTCAGGGCACTTCCTCTTTAGCCACCTGACTGTTCAGTCCTAGTTTCAAAGAGAAATACGGCTGCTCAGAGTCCCTGAAAAATCCATCCTGTCGCTTTCTATCTTTTGAAGTCAGCAGGAACTGTTGTCAGACTAAAAAATGTCAGAAATTTGCTTCTCCCCTCCAAATCAGCCAAGCTTTGCTTTTCTAATAACTTCAGCCAGCCTTCAGGACTAGGAAAGTGCTTTTTATCTGTGTACATGTCAAGTTAGTGATAGTACATGGGAATCTTTCACTTAGCAAGACTAGCAAAGCCTTGCTGTGTATCAGGAATGCCATTCCATGGATAGTAATTTTCTTGCCTCTGCAGTAGCACATTAATTTAGGTGCAGAAATCAGAGACAGCTGATAAGGTTGCTGACACCAAGATGTTCTGCCTGTCATTCAGTCTTCCTTGCAAGCCACCAAACAGCTTCAGATTTGATAGTTTTGAAAAAAACAACTCTCCTCATTTTAAAATATACATACATTTCAATTTCCTCCACATAACACCAGCAGTTATAGAAACAGCTGTTTCTGATTGTGTAGTGATTATTCCCCAGTATGCACTTCCCTGTGACTGGCTTTTGTTTTCATTCTCACAAGGCAAGGCATATAGAGACATGAACTTTTTTCCCCACACCCTGGTGCCTTGACTGTACTAAAACTTGCTTATTTTAAATTTTACATATTAATCAAAAGCTGCTAAAATTAAAGACTTTTCTGTCATCAGTCATCATAAGCATGAGAGCAGTCTGCTCTTGAAAGCCTGTAGCTCTGATTGTTCAAAAACATACTATTCACTATGTCAATTTAATCATGTATGTCAGATATTAAAAGATCAGGCTCTAAGTGTACAAATCCTGTTGAGATCTGAGAAAGTTCTTTTCCATCAATATGAATGAGGGTAAATTTCATGCCGCTTGTTACATCCCATGTACTCTTATTTCTTCAAACTATCACTTGTCTTGTCTTTTATGTGCCAGTAATCAATTTGTAAAGCATAAATCATAAAGCTTACCTAGTTTTTGATTATGCTACAGCCTATGATTTTACATTTAATCAATTTTCTTACTTTAATAACTGACATTGTTTCCATTTTATCGCCTTATCTGTGTTTGAAGGAACAAATAAAAATCACCTTTTGGAAAAGGATTAAAATTTCACCTACTATTTACCTATAAAGTAGTTTAAGAACTGCACCGTCACATCAAGCATTTAATCAGATATGCAAACAAGAAGTTGAGCCTGTACATCACGTTCTGCCATACATCATGCAGCAATCACATTTCAGCATTATCCCATGCAACCTGCAAACATCTGCTAAAGAGAGAAAGAACAGAACAGCAACAACAACAAAACACACACCAAAAGGTTATTTGACTTGCATTCTGCGTGAATTTGAGCTGGACACAAGAATCAGGTCCCTGTTGATCAGGGATGAGAAAAGAACAAGATCTCTTGAAAGACATTTTTTTCTCAAGAGACAGTAGATGCACATTTCAGAGTTCCTCGCACAGGTAGGTGCAGTCACATGCATGTGCTCCGAGCTGGGTAGAGACACAAGTTGGAGAGAACTGGCAAGCCCTGCAGAACCTTAGGGCAGTGCTTTGCACAGTCAAGTAAGGCACACTGGGTCAGGGAAGATCACTTCAGGCTCACTGCCATGCAGATGAGTTTATTCAGCTTTCCAACCCGACCAGCTGAGGGTTTGGGTTGGAGACAAGAGGAACACATAAGGCCACTTGAAGCCAGCCATCCAGAGTGATCTCTTAGGCTGGAGTCACACTGTCTCAGTATTGGGGTTCATTTGATTCTGAAAGTCCACTGGCTTTACTACTTAAAAGAGGCATTAGTCATGTAAATATCTCCATTTCTCATATACAGGAAAAAAATTTGGCAAGTTTTAAATAAAGGTTTCCACTGCGAATCAGAGTAAGGTCACAAGCTGACATTCATTTGTTACCAGGGTCTCAGGAAGTTTAAAAAAAAAAAAAAAAAAATTCCTCATAGGTATTAGCAATTACTTGAGGGTTTTGAATCCTTATTTCATACAAAGAGTCTGTTTCGTGTAAATATTTGTGGAAAAAATGTCTATTTCTTATAACAGCTGATGATCTCAGCACAAGTGACCCAAGACATGATCTTCAGCTGACAGCACTGACTTAACATTTCTCTTCTATCTTTTATAACAACTTCTTGAAAGTATAAACCATGGGTACTTTTTTCTTTTTTTAAATCTGCCACAGACATCTACTTCTAAGGATGTGAACAGACTCAAACAGTAATCAAGAAATTGTACAGTGATCTCAAAGGATGCTTAAAACATTTTCCCTAGTTACAGCCTGTCCCTGTCTCCTGATGACATTTTCTCCTATTTAAAAGCTTGCCTTGCTGATTGAAATTCCAGATTTGGAACTGGTCTTTTCCAATGGCTAACGGTTTTGAGGAAAACTTAACAAATCCAACCAGAGGCTGAAATATTTGTGTATTTTACATGACAGTATCTTGTTCATTTAACAGCTTGAGTTCCCACAGGAGGTTCACTAACACCCTGAATAACCTGTACAGATTTGCTGCTCCCAGACCAACATCCCAGCTGTGCAGAAGAAACATCTTCCCTCTCAGTTTCTGAGCAGGGTGCCTGGACAAGGACAATGATGTCTGTATGCCAGGACATAACAAGAATGCCTTCTCTGGTGTTATTTATTGTAGTAACGGGCCCTGGCAACAGTTAGGCTCCATGGTGATAACAAATAACCAAGCTCTCAAGGAAGATACTAGAGCATTCCTACTCACTGGACTTGCAGCAAGGAGAAGCAGATGGTCACAGTTTCACCACAAGCTGCAATTTTTCTATCCAGGTCACAGTCACAGAGCTGTCTTCTGAGGAGCCACAGAACAACCAGGAAGTCAAAAGCCAGGTTCTTCTCCACAGACTCCGTATAAAGTATGTTAGGAGATGTCTTAGCACGTGAGGGTGTGAGGACATATGCATACAGAGCAATGGTTTTGCTGATGTTAGTGGTAGCTCTGACTCTGTCAGGGAGCTCTTTAAGAGAAGGCCCATCACTCACTCAGCTTAATACAATCCTTATGCTACAGCGGAAGCAGACTCACCATTTGCCTACGTGCATGATCTGATTTTACAGCACCTGAAAAGTTGCTTTTCACAGTCTGTCCTGCTTGTCTCATTAAAGATACATTTATAGGCACTTATCTCCCACACCAGTGATGAATTACAACACTGAAGGAAGGTGGATTTTGCCTCAAAAAGTTATTTTAAGGCCGGGAGCTTGTATACATGCAAATACTATATATGCAAGATATATATATATAGCGCCACTTTGTGAAGCTTAGAGAGTTGAGTTGGCTCAAGCCCAAACATACAGACAAGGCAAGAATACATGTAGGCTCTAATCCTGCATTATTCGGAGGTTCAAATCTGTTGTTTAGAAGGGGCAAAGGTTAACACCTTGTGAAGTGCTAATTTAAAACTGAGTTTTAAATTTCTAACCGATATTCCGCATACAGAAGGCACTTAAAGTATTGAAACAATACTCCAATAGAGTCAATTAGACCTTCCCTCACCATCAACATCCACCTGTGACAGAACATGGATAAGTATATCTGTCTTCCACTACACTCTGAACCTGCCAATTCCATGGGACTATTCTAGATAGCCCCTTAAATGTCTAGAAGCCCAAGGAGCTTTTCCCATTTGTTTCTTCATTTTCATGTAGACTAAAAATGACAGCACTGATGGAACAGAGATAGTTCCCTCACAGGTTGGGGCAGCTTAGCCAACAGGCACTTCAAAGGATGGTGCCAAACCTGAAGATAAGATTAGTGAGGAAAACTTCCCCAAGGAACCACTAGAAAGATTTACATTTTTTCAGATAAACAGAGATTCCCAAAGCACAGGTAAACAGTAACTGAAGTTCATACCAGCCCCACAGAGACCTAGGAGGAAATAATCTTGAAGATCTATTGTTAAAGCCAACTTCTATACCAAGAAACATTCATGCTGTGACACCACACAGATTGAGCTCTTAGCACTGGTTTAAAACCATGCAGTAGTAGCAGAGAGTAGCTGATGATTATGTTCTGCAGCATGACTCAACCCTCACTACCAGAACAGACAGCAGGGTAGATACTTTTCTTGGCAGACGCCTGGAACAGACCAAGAGAACAAACTCAGCCTTGTCCCCAGGGGTAACCCTCTCTAACTGTCAATCTGGTGTTACAATGAGACAGTTTTTACAAAAGAATGGTCACTACAAATGCCCCAACTAGCAGCAGGTAGAGACAGTAAGTAAATAGCCTGTTATTTCTTTAAGTTTGCAACTAAAAGTTGCAGGGCCAGTTATGATGTGGAAAAAATCTATAAAAATTCCAGAAATCATCACAACAGTAAGCAAAGGTGTGCTAAAACTTTTTTTTCTTTTAAGTGCAAGTGAACACTCAACCCCAAACTTTTCTATAATCTTAGGATACCATTGCAGTAAGACTTGGTAATGGGAAATCAGCACTCTTTTTTGGTGCATTTAACCCGCCTAATTTTGCGGTTTAACTCTTGTATTTTTCAAGTGCTATGAACAGCTTACATTTCACAAACATGCTAAACAGAGAATCTACAGTGGTTGTTTACTCTTTATAATAAACAAGTTGAAGTAAAATATTTCAGATTGAACACAAAAGGAATAATTAGTGGTGTTTTCTATTCATTAAAGATGACTTAACTCCCAATGCGACAGAAGGATTTGATGAAAGGATTTCATTTCATATTGAACAAAATTATTTGCTTGCTCTGAAATGGTTTCATCTCATTTTAAGCTCCTTTTCCTCCCACTTGCTAAAAGATAACTTCACAGGAAATTTCTAAACAGAAAGTTTTTGAAATCATGCTTCAATCTTCTTTTCCAGATAAAAAAACCCCACACCATACCATACTAAGATACTTCAACTACATCTTTCTCGTGAATGGATTAGTAGAAGCAATACAAATTCACATCACTTGTCAGTGTTGCCCACTCATCCTGCTTCTATTTTTTGCCAGGATGTGTTTTGCTGTATACTGGCTTCTGACATTTACATGTTCTGACTGACAGCTGAACCCCAGTGCTTTTTGGGTAACTGGTTCGGTTATTTTAGGAGAGGTACGGAGTCAGCTTCTACAAGGTGGTGGATGTTCTGTATTTTTGTTTTACAACTGAAAAATAGGACAACGTTGTCATAATCACTCTGCTTATAAAGACTGGAAGATGTCAAATAACTGCAATTTTGATTTGGTCCAAGCATTTTTCATACAAAAGCTCTCAGTTCTGCCAGTAGAGGTTGGGCAGATGGTAGAACTGTCAGCTGAGGGCTGAAAAACCTGATGGCTCTTGGCAATAAAGTTGCTCGTTGTTTATTCATGTCTAATTTGTGGAAACTAAACAGCCACTAAGAAGAGTTATCAAAATAATTTGGGTTTTAGTTCTAATTGCTGATTATAAACATATAATTGTTGGAATGCTTATGATCTGATGCAAACATATCAATGCTGTTACAACAAAAATCATAGACCACAAAAGCACATGAAAGTTTGCGTTTGTTTAACAGAAGAACACAGTGATCTTCACAATATGGCTCATTAGTAGGCTTATGCTATCCCATCCCAGCCTGGATTTCTCCAATCAGATCACAGAATCCTTAACAACTCAAATTATCAGAAGTTTCCTATGGACTTTCTTTGGGAACTTGCTCAAAAATGGGCTTCATAAGTCTTCAGCATATGCTCCCATGCTTTCCTGAACGTGCCCTCTGCGTGTAACTGACTACAGTGAGAAACTGGACAAGGTGCCTGAACCATTTTCCAAGCAACTAAAAAGCTTACTGCAAAGTTTAAGCAGGGAATAGAGCCTCCAGCAGGCCTTTTCTGCTGGGCAGTCTCAGCATGCAACTTCTTAAATAAAAACTCTGGCATTGGAAATACACCATGAAGCTTTGTTCGAATGCCAAGTGTTAAGTTTTAACATTTTCATCTTTTGAAGACACACTGTTGACCAGCAAGATCATCAGTAAATCATCACCCTTAGAGGAAACAGAGAGGCAAAAATCATCACATATTCTTGAACAGCTGAAGATGCAGGGAATAATTATGAGCCAAGTACCACTGCCAGAACTGGAGAAGCATATGAGAACAAGGTAAGTGTCATTACATGAAACAGGAACCCTGCTACAGCTCTGACCATGCTGTGAGCGCCTTGAGATTCAGCTTCTACACACACAAAGCAAGTTGTTAAAAAATGGAGAACTGCACTGTAGGGGTGTTAATACAACAGATGCTAGCAATAGTTTCCAGTTGTTTAAAGCTTCTGGGCTTGTTTCAAATGGGAACAAAGGAGGTAACAGTACTAAGAACTTATTCTTTGAAAAACTCACTGGCAGTTACATACCACAAACTTGGTTCTCAGGTCCATGAAACTAGAAGAAATACTTCTGTCAGGGCTTATAATTACACTTAAATTAAGATGTCAGAAGTCACACTTCTGAGAAATCTACAAATCATATTTGATCTCAAACTAAAAAACTGTTAAAAAATTTATTTAAAAAATTTATAAACCTGATATTTGACTAAGAAGCTAGTGTCCATTTCATTCTGAATAATAACCCGAGGTTTATTTTGGCTTCTGAACTCAAGTTTATTCTTTTGTTGTTACAGATCAGATGCTTCTTCTAGATAAGGTTTCAAGTACAGATGTCAAGAGGGAGAAGGTTTGCAGGACATCTATAAGAAGTTTAATGCATTTATGAATATGTGTTGTCCAAAGCATGATCCCACCACTGCTTGAACACAGGAACAATTCAAACTCAAACCAAGGAAGATTCTGAATAGCTTTTCCATCTGAGACAAGCCATTCACACATCTCTAACCTCAGCCACTCATGTTATTGAAAAATCAATCAGAAACTTTCATATTCTGTGGTAAGAAGGACAAAACAAGCAAGTGCCACCTTACAGTATGGTCACTGGTGCTGCCTAACACATTTCCCATTGTCAGCACTTTGAAAAATGGGGATGGAGAGTCTCCAGCTTCCCTATAGCTTTTTGAGTATCCAAGAGGATTATTCCCTCCGTGGATAAATTTAGGTAGCATACTGCAAGAAGGTTTTTGTATTTTTCCCTTTCATAATATAGGCAAGTGTCCACTCCCTTGGCAGCAATACAAAACTCAGCCTGTGCTACCTCCCAAAAGAATAACTTATTCCATTAAAGCTCAAATCCAGCAGATTATCTATGAATAGATGGACTAAATGCACTGAACACAGATGCAGTAGAAAAGACATATTGCAAGTTACAATGTGCAGCTCCGGATTTCCTGCATTAACACACAGGTAAATTCACACCCGAAATATTTGAATTGACCGGAAATAAACATGAATATCTTTATGCCAAGTTTCTGTCCAGCACTAGCTTCAATGAAGAAATGAACTCACAGCCTTTATAATGCTATTAAAGACAAGTACAACCAGGTTTGAGATTATTTTTACAATTATATTGGAGATAAAGATAACCTTGCTAGAGCTTCATGTGCATAATTGTGCTCCCCGTAAGCATCTGCATCCCTTAAGCCTCAACAGCATTACCTATGAAACAGCTATGCTAGAAGTCTTCAGTCATTTGACCATCCCTTACTTTATTGTGAACAAAGGAACTCTAAGCAGTATGGGTTAGGATGCCTTGTTACACTTGTTTCTAAGCATTACTGCTCCAAAGGAGCAGTACCTTTGAGAGCAACATTTTGAGGGTCTAGCATAACAAAGCCAAGGAAGAGCCATACACACCATGTGATAAACCAGCCTCTACAATATTAATAGTGGCTCTAATAAAAATGCTAGCAGAGACAGAGCTTTCACCTAAGACACAGGTATCTAGGCTTCTCTGCGTTATTATATTTCAGCACTTGCTTCTCACAGGACTACCCAAAACTAAACCAACCATATGACTAAATGTCATTCAGATGATTCTTGAACTCTGACAGGCTTAGTATTGTGACCACTTCCCTGGGGTACCTGTTCAAGTGCCTGACCACCCCCTCAACAAGGAACCTTTTCCTGATGTCCAAAGAATCATAGCTGATGTCAAATGTGAAAATGTTTGATTCTCACCCCTGAAGAGTTTAATGTAACTCTAAAACATCCCTTCTCCCAAGAAATGGCAGGAGTGGAATTATAGGCAGAACAGGACACTTTCATTCATTAGCGCACCAACAGCTGTAGGATGTCATCTATCAGGTACCTTTTTACCAAGTCTGCCTTTAAAGGCACTCCTGTGTGTGTGAGCCAGAGGGTAAGCAAAAGGACCAAAACCTGTCTTTTCAAATGGAATGGTCTCTGGGAATCTTACCTCCTTATCATGAGTTATCATTTATAAGGAACATGGATAGGATATTTTAGCGTTTTCATATTTCCATTGCTGTTAGCTTTCACTGTGGGTTCACTGATGCTGTGGGGACTAATGATCTCCAAAAACTGTTTAGCTCAAAGATAAGTTCTCTTCTTAGCTTATATAGACATAGAACAATCTGGAAGGCAACCTGCTTGCTGAATACTCTGCTTTGTTTGGACATTTTGGGAAGAATTTTCCATCCCTCTCTTCCTAAGCAGTCCACAATCTATCTTGGGCAAGGAATAACTTGGTCAGTATGCTGGGCTTTCACTGCAATGGCCTTTTACATTAAACAGAAGTTTGGGGGTTTTTCTTCTAAAAAAAACCCTTTTGATTCATTTTTATGATGATTGAAGATTGCTTTGTTCAGAATTTTTGTGTCATCTGCATTCAGAATATCTCTGTTGTATATCAGTTTTCTTCCTACTGATTCATGCTCCACCTTCATCTCACTACGTGAGTCATCTTCTATACTATTTGCAGCACTTAACACTTCTGGCAGCGAGGCCTGACTTCTAGAGTTATTTATGGCAATAAAAGTCTGAGGAGCAGATAACTCAGGAAACTTGTAACAGGATAGTGATTATTTCAACCCCAGGTCCTCGGTGAGGGTTTAACACTGCTAAACCTCACACAGAAAATGGCAGAATTCAGCCTCCTGGCTAATCACATAATCACCCCATCTTTCCGGGACTAAGTGCTACCCTCAGCAGCAGAGCTTTAGAATCGGGCTGCTCATTTGAATGCAGCAGAGGCCAGCAGTATTATGATTACCAAGCTTTAACAAAACCATTCTTAAATCTCTTCAGCAGTAAAAAAGTAACTTCCCTAAATCCTTAGGACCTCATTACCAAGTCCCCACATCTGCTGGGTGTACAGCAGCATTGCAAGTTTCACGAGACACATCATTCAGCAGCAAAGGGGAATTCTCACCGCAGACAACACTCCCTCGTGAGTGAGCATTGAGGTTATTAGCACATCATTATTTCTAGGCTTTCAGTGGTATCACAGTCCATCAACTCCATGCATGAAAAAAGAGCAGAAGGCAAGCAGCAAGTGTCACTCCAACAACAAGATGTACTCTGCTGAAAGCTTTTAATGTCTCTACAGGGAGATGCCCTGGAAGAGACACTGAAGAAACCCCAGCTAGGCTGGAAACAAGGAAGTAGGTGATTTTACAATGAAGAACATGAAGACTTCTGTTGCAGCAAAGAAACAGGTCATTTAATTCTGCTGTGTATTTTTTCCAGTGTTTGCTTTATCACTTGAAAACGCTCTATTTTTTTATAAATCAAGGTAACACAGTTTATGTACAACCTTCTACCAAAACCTGATTCACTGCAGTACAGTGGGTCCTATATTCATCTCATAGATGTTGCAAGTCCAGGTTTATTTTTGCTGAAAGCCTGAAAGATTACTCTAAAAATATTCATAAGAGAGGAAACTTCTGGACCAGTCTTTTTTTGTTCCTATAGCAAAAGATGCGTCTTCCACGGACACCAGAATGAATTAACTAAAGTCCGGTGCTAATTGGAGTAACCTTCTGATCACATTTAGGTAGAAAGATAGAAAGAACTGCTGCATGTTCTTGACACATATCTACTTAATCCCTCATTAGAGAGCATTGCTAGTTTTGTTCTAGGTTAAGGAAGTAGAACTGAACAAAATGCCACAACACATTAGATATATATTTTTTCCCCAGAAACGGCTCACCAAATGACAAGGAAACAGACTGAAAAGGACTGCACAAGTTTTGAAAGTCAAGGAGGTACAAGCACCCTCAGTCCTCACCTTTAGATGGTGAGCCAGGGCTGCTGCTGAAGGAAGTAACTGCAGTGGAAGCCACAAACAATTATACTGAGGACTCTGTCATTGAGCCTGGTAACTTACAGCTGTGCCAATGAATCAGTATGGATCTAAGCTCTCTTGCAAACATGAACAACTCCTCTGTACCCCACAGCTGTCTTTTTGACAGCATAAATGAATGGTTTATCACAGGGCACAGCTGAGTCTTGTTGCTACTTCTCTCACCTGGGAAAACGGTATCTAATCTTAATTGTTACACACTAATTGGAAGTAAAAACTGATAAGAACCAGGAAGAGACAAATTAGTAACAAGCCAGTCACTATGTTCAAGCACATACATATTATCATGATTCTATCAAATTTAATATATTATATTGTTAAATCTAACTAACTTATTTAATGGCTCCACAAAAAGATTGCCTTTCCCTAGGGAGCAGAAGGTTGGAAAGACATTGTATACACACAAGAAGACACAAAAGCAGGAGAAAGAAGGGAAAAAGCTGTGATCAGCAGGGATTTGGAGCAGTAGAAGAACATGATGGGACCCTAAGGATTTTAACTTATTGCACAGAGAGACTGGCAAAGAGGTGAAACCTTCAGACAGCAAGGTGGCAACAGGCCCCAAGAACATCTATTTGACAAGCATTGAGCATATGGGGGAAAGACAGAACAAGTACCAAAATTTCAATGGAGAAAACAACTGAGATATACAAAGTGCATGTGGGTTTGGAAGGAGATGACTGTTTCTATTACAGTTACGTATTTGGTCAGTAAATCTCTTGATTTTGGAATCCTCCAAGCTCTACCTCCAACAGCACGAAACATTTACTACAGCCAGCTCCTCCAAAGAACAAGTAAAGCAATTGTGCCATTCACAGTCTCACTGCTATCAGCCCTGCCACCACCTTCTGAACCATCTCTAAACACTTTCATCCCCGCTTCCATTTGGGTCACTGGCTCTGCCCACCTTCCTCTCTCATCAATCCCACATCGTGCTCACCTCTGCTCCTACCCATGCTTTTTACTTTCTTACCTTCAGCCACGGATGACACATTCTTCCTTTCCCCTTTCCAAGCCAAGGAATTTCAACTGCAGCACAGGACTGCTCTTCTCTCAAATCGTAGAGGAGGCACTGCAGAATAGATGAAAAGGTAGCCCCTATTTTTACAGTCTCATGGCAGTTCTACTATCACTCTTAGGAATAAAAAAAGCTTTCCTGCTGTCTCTTCTCTTGACAGACTTGCATTAAATCATTAAGGGGAGGAGCAAGAGCTCGTCGTTTCCTGAGCAGCTGGGATCCCACCTGAGAAGCTGAGAAAGGCAGCCCGTCAGAAAGAGCCTGTTTTTTCAGGCCTACCTCCAGGCCTGCACCAATTGGTGGGTTTTGTGATAAAATTCTATTAGCAATAGAGAAGGAAACCTAAAAATCACCCTGTTGTTGCTGGGAAAGAACAATAGAGAAATAGGAAAAAGAGAAAAAAAAATTAGGAAATAGAGAAACTTTACTCAGTTGGTTCAAAATTATCCAACAGCCTGACAAATAGGAGAAGTAAGAGATCTGTGGGTACATTCTCACCACACAGCTAACCCAAGCTGTTCCATGAATTTTGTTTCTTAGGTACTTGTAGCTAAGGCTACCTGGCCAGGTGTGGAATAAAAAATGGTGTATGTATGCATGCATCTATATGTATCTCCATACAGACCGTTCCACCAAGTTAGCGTATTTTGCCTCCCCTTGCAGTGAAGTTACTCAAGTGCTAATAATCTCCCAGCACCTTCCTGTAGTTTCAGAAGAACAAATGATTGTCTGTCTACAGCCGATGTCATTTCTTCCACTGTTTTTTGGGTGAGAATCTCAGCTCCCTGCAGCACAAATCCCAACAAACCCTGTGACACAGAGAGAGAAGCCCAGCATCAGGAAAGGTGCCTTTCTGTAACAGGACCACTCGTGTGGTTCTGCCTGGCTCATCTGTGTGACACTTGTGATTATTAGTCTCTCAAATCAACTAGGCAACAAAGATACCCTGAAGAAAAGTAACAAGAAACAAGAGGGCCTTTGCAAGTATAAGACTAATAGCAGTCTAGCTCAGAAAAATGTCCTTGAATCAAAGATTTGAGATGAAGCTAAGAAATTGCTAAGAAGACAAGGGGTCTAGCTTGTCAGCTTTACCTGGGGAGGGCACAGACTTGTTTCAGAAGTGAAACACACAATTCTTCCTCCCGTGCACATCCAAGAGCTTAAGCCAAGAGCAGGTAACTTTTCCACATCCACCTGACAGGGCAGGGTGGGTATGAAAGGTAGGTAGCCTGGTGTGTGCTTCACCAAGGGGTTGTTTTGTTGTCTGCCTGACACCACTGGACCAGTGGGAAGAACATTCTTAATCTTTCTATGATGTTTGTTGGAAGAGGCTGAACATTGTGTACAAGCAGTGGAAGGCAATCTCAGAAGAAATGCATGCATTTCTCATTATACAATGTTCACAACAACTTTAATTATTGCCTCTGTTAGGAGGATCTGCTGAAACCCACTCTTTTGTACTTTTTGGCACAGCAAGTTTCTGAGCCTCTTCCTACAATAGAAGATACAAACTCTTGGCTGGGCACACAGCTTAAATATGTTCTGAATTTGGAAATAATTTAAAAATAAAGACCCAATCTTTCAGTTGAGTAAACTAATTTTTGTGTTATTAATAAGAGAGGCAGTTATAGCCTGCCTTACTGAATTGTGTATTTAACTGAACACTGATCTAACTCCCACTGAAAACCATCCACGTCTTTCCATCACCTTCAGTGGATGTTGGACTTGTCTCATGATGCTTAAGAGAATAGCTAAGCAGGGAGGGCAAAGCTACATTTCTGAGCAAAGAAACAGCTCGCTCTTTCAACTGAGTTCAAAGGAACAGCACACTGAATATTCCTGGGTATAAAATTACACTGAGGTATGGCTGACAACTGCAGGGCTCCTAGCCATGGCTAACTGCTTGCACAAAAAAAAGTAGGACAGCAAATAGGTGCCAGGTGTCTGGTTTTAAAATTCCTTCAGGTATTAAATTTTCTCCTGTTTGACTGGTAGGTCTCTTACCAAAGACACAGTACAGCAGCGCCCATGACTAAGCACCATGGACTTGTGTCCCACCACTGTTTGCGCTAATCCCTGTCACATGACATGTCGAAAAGCCAACAGGTAGGCAGTAGGAGCCCACAGCACTGTAGCAACTGAGCAAGAAAGCACTAATCTCCTTGTCAGTGCTGATGTCTCACTGCTAGTCATGAATGGAGAGAGACACACTAGTCTAGGCAAGGATGACTGGGGCAAAGATGCTTTTTCTCCCATGCTAGGACTGAGATGGGGGGAGGCAGAAGCATCTCAGTAGGTCAGACCAGCCAGGACTTGCCCTCCTCACACACAATCATCATGGACCTGTTTCCATAGGAGTGGTTTGCCTGAATTTGTTCCCTTGAGCTTCTCCAGAGGCTATCCCCTTTCTGAAACTGAACTCAAACTGAAAGAGCAACTGGCTGAACAAGAGTCAGAGCTACAGACATTTGAGAGTGACAAGTATCAGCATCACCAGTGTTCAGCTTACATGCAGACTAGAGGATTCCTGCCCTTGCTGTTTGAGGATGGCTCTTCAGTCTCTGCTCTAATCCACAGATGCCTTGTGAGAATCATCAAATCCTTACCTCAGGTGATGTGTGTGAGGAGGACTTTTGGAGCCTCCTGCTCACATGATGAAGAAATGGTCGGTGCAGGGTGATGTAACACATAGTCAAGCTCCTCTGAGCATAGGGTTCGGTGCAACTTGCGTGCTGCTCCTGCACAGCTATTTTCCCTGGAATTCCAGCACAAGGTGCCCCAGCAGAGGTCACCCTGCCCCGCGGAACTCCCTCCTGGCCCCGGCCCCGCTCCCCGCCCCGGCACTGCCAGTGGGGAGGTCAGGTGTTTGTTTGTTCCTGCCTTTTTTTTTTTTTTTAACTTACGAGTTTTTGAACTGGAAGGGAGAATATACCATGTGCGCAGTATTTATGCCACCGTGCCTTTCAGTGACAGTTTCCTAAGATACTCAGCTAAAAGATGTGAATAACTATTCGTTCATGCTGTCACTAGGAAGAAAAAAGAGGGGGAAAAAATAGAATTCTGAGAATACAGAAAGGCAAGTTCAAGGGAAGTAAAATTATGCATGTACTATGAGTTTTGCTTTTGAGTTTTCTCTTGCTCCAAAGGCAACTCTGCCACAGGAAGCAATACCAGCCACCCCTCTACCAGCTTTTTCTCTATTGAAGGGAAATGCTCCATGCAATGGTGAGATGAAAAGTTCAAGGGAAGGGCAAGAAACATTCAATCCGTGAAACAGGGGCAGGTTTTGCTTTGATGGGTGTTTGCCTCTGTCTGAAGGAAAAGTGATAGCAAGGATCTTGTGATGATGAGAATGCCAGGGTCCTCTCCCTTTTCCTGGGTCTGATGCTGGTGTTTGTCCATCAAGCTCGTTCCTGGGCAAGTACAAATGCTGCTGGAGGTCCCTATGGAACATGGTCAGAGTTCCTCCCTTCATGAATCTGTGTTTCTTCTCCTTTCACATATGATTTTGTGTCTTTCTCTTCCCTTCCTCGTTTTATTCATCTGTTCCTCTGATATTGTTCTTTCTGACCCAGTTTGCCTTCTCTCCAGTATGCAGGGGAGTCACTAGTCTTTTCCCTGTCCTTGCTGCACTGCAGTTCTCTATACACCAAAGAAGAATGTTCCATTTAAAATATCAGTCCTTGCTACTGGACCACCAGAATGTCTCTGGGACAAACATTTCTCCTCACAAAAAGCAAGACACGGTTGGTCACTATGTCCTACATCTTTGGGAAGAAACAAAATACAAATCTAGACCAAGAGTAGCACTCTCAAATAAGCCCCTAAAAATTCAATAGACAGGAGTAACTGGCAGGAATTGAGATGCCTCTGATTTTGAGGTGTTTGAAATCAACATCCAAATGGTTATATGTTGCATAAGTCTCTGTTTTATAAACAGCCTGTAGTGCTGAGCCAGTTCACTGCAGCAGCTCTTGGGAGCTCTCTCTTGTGAACCTGCACTGTTTCCTAACTTGCTCTGTGCTCACTTTTAATA